AGAGATGTTAAGTATAAGATCATGAAAGTAAAGGTCATTGAAGGTGCAGGAATGCCCTCAGGTATCATCGTGTGGCCGCTTGGATGTACATGGTGGTATACCTTGGTTTGCGTCAGCTTTACCTGGGGGATGTACGCAAAGCCACCCAAAGATAGCATAAAAGGGACTCCATCATGTCTGACACTGATCTGCGGGTCAGCGACACATGATCATGACAACGTGAGGGATGACGTAACATGACCTGAACGAAAGTTTCAAGCCAGACGTTTTGATCGTACACGAAAATACCGCATTGTTATTGATTTTCTACAGCATTACATCCAGTGTGAAATCGGCAGTGGGATGCTCGGGACCCACCTCTCCCACCCTGAGCCATGTGACAGAACAGGCGAACTTGGCGAAGCTGGAAGCCAGCGCGGACGGCGCTGCGTTCGGGATGAGCAGCGGCACGTTAGCCGGCATCCGGGAGGCCTTGACCGCCGCTGTGTGCTCCGTGACTGCCGGCAGGGGCGGGGATAAGTCGGATGAGCGGCGGGAGGCCGTCGGACCGGCTCTGCACCTACAGCGCCGAGCCCAGCTGCCCACCGTCCGCCGCAGCGCTCCCTGCTAGCCGGCTCTGCACGCTGGAGCTGCGTGCCGTCTTAGCGTGATGCTGGCGCCGCACCAGTATCAGCGTGGGTGCCGGTCTAGAGCCAGCACTCCTGCGCTGGTTCCGTGTACGAAATGCAAGCCAACGGCATCGGCATGAGCAGAGTCACAGCATTCCCGTCAAAGACACCGCTGCGATGGCGCCAGTGCGGGCTCAGTGACGACTTTCTCCACCGGTGGTGCGGTCTCAAAACCCGCACCTCTAATGCGCGGAAGCCACGGGCCTTCGCATGCATACAGAAGGTGGCTCACTGTCACACGAATTTTCATCGTTCATTAATAGCGCCACATGGAGCATCAGCCCGCCCGCGTGGTACACTGGGGCTGACACCCCTCTCCACGTGTCACGGGACGTCAGCCCGCCCGCGTGGTACACTGGGGCTGACACCCCTCTCCACGTGTCATGGAGCATCAGCCCGCCCGCGTGGTACACTGGGGCTGACACCCCTCTCCACGTGTCATGGGGCGTCAGCCCGCCCGCGTGGTACACTGGGGCTGACACCCCTCTCCACGTGTCACGGGACGTCAGCCCGCCCGCGTGGTACACTGGGGATGACACCCCTCTCCACGTGTCACGGGACGTCAGCCCGCCCGCGTGGTACACTGGGGCTGACATCCCCTCCCACGTGTCACTGAGCATCAGCCCGCCCGCGTGGTACACTGGGGCTGACACCCCTCCCCCGTGTCATGGGGCGTCAGCCCGCCCGCGTGGTACACTGGGGCTGACACCCCCTCCCCCCGTGTCATGGGGCGTCAGCCCGCCCGCGTGGTACACTGGGAATGACACCCCCCACGTGTCACGGGACGCCAGCCCGCCCGCGTGGTACACTAGGGCTGACACCCCTCCCCCGTGTCATGGGGTCAGCCCCCCGCGTGGTACACTAGGACTGACACCCCTCCCCCGTGTCATGGGGCGTCAGCCCGTCCGCGTGGTATACTAGGGCTGACACCCCTCCCATCGTGTCATGGGGCGTCAGCCCGCCCGCGTGGTACACTAGGGCTGACACCCCCCCCCGTGTCATGGAGCATCAGCCCGCCCGCGTGGTACACTAGGGCTGACACCCCTCCCCCGTGTCATGGGGCGTCAGACCGACCGCGTGGTACACTAGGGCTGACACTCTCTCCCCCCGTGTCATGGGGCGTCAGCCCACCCGCGTGGTACACTAGGACTGACACCCCTCCCCCCGTGTCATGGGGCGTCAGCCCGCCCGCGTGGTATACTAGGGCTGACACCCCTCCCACGTGTCATGGGGCGTCAGCCCGCCCGCGTGGTACACTAGGGCTGACACCCCTCCCCCGTGTCATGGGGCGTCAGACCGACCGCGTGGTACACTAGGGCTGACACCCCTCCCCCCGTGTCATGGGGCGTCAGACCGACCGCGTGGTACACTAGGGCTGACACTCTCTCCCCCCGTGTCATGGGGCGTCAGCCCGCCCGCGTGGTACACTAGGACTGACACCCCTCCCACGTGTCATGGGGCGTCAGCCCACCCGCGTAGGGCTGACACCCCCTCCTCCCGTGTCACAGTCCCACCATCGCTTTCATCGCAGCGGCTCTCTGTGTGCTCCTGGGATACAGATGGACAGACAATACTCCCGTGCTAAAAAGCCACGGTGTTTGCTACCTGACGTTCGAAAGATCCTGCGGCGCAAACAAGATGAGCGTTACCTTTGTGTCATGGCTGGGTACAGGGTCAAACCTTGGGTGAGGTGGAGTGTAGGTTTCGCAACACCGCCAAGGTCAGAAAACTTCACATTAGCAGCGTCCAGAGAGAGCCATTCTTTCACAGTCTTCAGGGACACAATCCTCATCTTCCGGAACCAACAATCCATCTCTTTTAAGTCGGCGTTGTGGAGGCAGGCAGGACAAACTGCATACAAGTACAGGCCTTCGCGATAATCTGTTTCTTTTACCCACTCGTTACGCCAACCAGAAGCGGCTGTCCGCACCCCACCCGCTAACCATTCCAAACCTCTTGTACCCACCCGCTAGCCATTCCAAACCCCTTGTACCCACCCGCTAGCCATTCCAAACCCCTTGTACCCACCCGTCGGCCGTTGCCTACCCGTTCGCATTTGTCCAACACATTGTTTCTATACCTTGGAAGCGTTTCAAAAGTTAACGTTCAAACTTCACTTTGAGTGTGATAGTTACAATAATAGTCTGATTTTAAGTAATTACAACTACAAAAGCATGAACAGTAAATTGTGTAGAACGTATTGGCTCACGTTCTTGACATATTTCGTAATACCTTCGCGCTTCATTATATCGTTCGGCCTCCTACCCGCAATTATCTCCAACATCTGTCCGAAACCCAATCCGTTACTTATCCCATATGAGTACATATGTTTTGTTCCTGGTAAAGATCATCACAAACGTGTTGTAGTGCTGTATGTCACGGAAACTGGTTTCGTAGTCTTATCTCACTAAACTAAAGGCTGGGAAACGACACTTTATCTGACGAACTGCAGTGACACACCTCGGGTAACGGCTACATCTACCAGTGTTAACAAGCGCTCTGGCCCAGAGCTACGCACCAGTACCATTGTAAACACATCAAACCATCCGTCCCAGACAGCTGCTGACACGTGGCCCCGCTCAACACGGCGAATCGGGTCAGTCTGCGGGCACAGCCGTCCCGCTACACCGCTGACACAATGGCGAGATTGGGGTGTCACGCGCGCTGTACGACCAGCCGCCAACACCGAGCGGCCGCCTCCGCTCTGCTTATTTCCGGCTGGTGTGACCAGACCGGCATCCCGTCCATCACCCGTCGGGCCTGACCTGCAGTCCTCCGGTCGGCTGCGCGGGTCTGGCACCGTGGCCGCGCCAGTGAGGAACACTGATGGTGCGACCAGACCGGCACCCCGTCCATCACCCGTCGAGCCTGATCTGCAGTCCTCCGGTCGGCTGCGCGAGTCTGGCACCGTGGCCGTGCCAGTGAGGAACACTGACGGTTCGGCCCGGTCAGCCTGCTACAGAGTCTACTCGGGCGTCGGTGCCCCTATGTGCCGATAGCGTTTGATGCCCAGCGCCGGAACTGCGGTACAAGAATCGCTCGGGGTCGCTGGCAGCTTCACCGCGCCCGTCTAGCTCTGCGCGGCTCGCTGGCACGAGCCTCGGAAGATCGTCGACATACGAACGGCGGCTTATTGACAGACGCGGACGAGCTTGGACGAGCGCGGGCGAGCCGACGACCTCCGTCAACACACCGCCAATGTCAACAGCCGGGAGGGGCCCCTCAGGCCGTCTCGGCTCGTGAAACACGGCGCCGGGACCTCCCACGTGCGACATTAAACCTCTCTGGCGGTGGGAAAATGAACAGTTCGCAGCGCAGACCGCGTGTGCTTTGAGAGCCAGGACACAGCACGGACAGCTGTCACCGCTAGCGCGGGCCAGGCCGCCGTGCAAAAAGCGGAGCAAGAAAGAGCCGTGGCGTCCGAGCGATGGAAGACCCGGGCGCGCTGGGCCGACTCTCGACCTCACGCGGGGTACGGGGTCAGAGAACGGATCCTCTGCGGGGGCGCGGCCTGCTTGCCTCCGTGTGGAGCTTGGTTGGTGACATGTACGGTGTACGGTGCCGTACAGGCACGTGACGTACTATGATATGCTTGTCAGGATGAAATGATGCTCATTGCGTGTGAAAGATAAGTCATGACGGCCCTAGCTTAAGGACTCTGAAAGAAATCTCAAGAAACCTAACGGTAGATGAATATACCAGTTGTGTTACAGCCGTAAATCTTGATCCCCGAAATGGCTTTTGCTCTAAGCCAGTTCAAGTTCAACCTTGACATCTGCCACGAACCCCATCGTGTTTGCGTGCTTCCGAAGCCGCGCGTTTCTTCCTGATGCACTGACGTTTGCAGCGAAAGATCAGGGGATTCACCGGACTTGGCCAGCATATGTTGCATTGGCAATGCGTGTGTTGCACTGAGGTGAAGCAGGGGCGAAGCAGTCCCCATCAAAACTGGAACACCACTCGGCATCGGAGTGTCGCTCTGTCTACGCCGATCACGTGGAGATACTACGGGTAAACTAAGATTAACAGGGTATGGGGGAGTCTGTGGATGTCATGGCAACCCCCCTTTACAAATATGCTGAACTCTAACCCTAAGCAGACGCACGAAAAAAACCGACTTTTAACTTGTTTTTGGCTGCCCCACTTACTGGCACTTTGTGGCTTCAAAAAAGTATTTCCCTTGGCCATCCGTGACTACGGCAAGGGACACCGACGTCACCGTAGTTGCATCATCTGTTGTTGAAAGAAGTCAGAGAAAGAGACTGAAAGTATCAAAGGCTGAAAGTGGCGCACAGTGAGACCCCCGGCAGCCCATGCTGAGACGACACTGACCACATGTAGGAGACGATGAAGAAGTGTCGGCGCAGCTGGTGGTTCTTCATCAGGTCAAGGATCTTGCGCCATTCCCCAATGTGTGCGTGGAACTCGTGCTGCAAGTACTCTCCCGTGCCCGGCCGGTTCTTCAAATTTAGCTGCGTTGATCTCAGCCGCTCCACCGCCGACTTGCGAGGTTGGTTGCCATGGTAACCGTTGCCTGCCAAAAACGGTGTGTTAACAGTTGAGAGTTAACGACTTTATCTATCAGGCATTGACCCATGGCGTTTCCGCCGGCGGGATCTGACACAATGTTAAGTGCTGCCGGCCGAGTAACAGCCCCTGAGGAGACACCTGTCCGGTGCGGCGTATGCGCTGCCGTTTAGCCGCTACCTGAAGAGACACCTGTCCGGTGCAACGGATGCGCTGCCGTTTAGCCGCCACCTGAAGAGACACCTGTCCGGTGCAACGGATGCGCTGCTGTTTAGCCGCCACCGGAGAAGACACCCGTCTGGTGTGGCGAATGCGCTGCTGTTTAGCCGCCACCTGAAGAGACACCTGTCCAGTGCAGCGTATGCGCCAAACTGACGTGCTGCTCTCCCCGACCGTGATACATTTTGCATGATCATGACTTAATGCCGCAGAGTGACTGTGGATGGTACAGTTTTGTGGTATGGTGAGATGTCCCTCTTAGTTCATCGGTCGGCAGGCGATGCTATAGCCGGAAGCCAGTTGCGGAACGTCTGTTGTTGTGTGTTGACATGCCATGCAAATCATGGAACTGGGACGTTTCAACCACTTTTGTTTATATTGTGTCTTCTCATTATTTACGGTAACTCCACGAAATGCCCACCGATCAGCCTGTTCGCTGCAAATAATAACATCAAATAATTTAGCCGATTCATGGGGGAGAGCGGGGGGAGGGAGGAGGACAAGCTGGGCTCTGCCCGGACTTCGAAGGCTGACATTTAGCTTATTTACACTAGATTGTCGGAATCTGTTAGCCGCTCCGGACTGCCCCAACATTTGTGACATGTGCCGGCTCATCTTGGAGAGCTTGGGAAGTGACAAAGCGTTACCAGCACCCGTGCTTGCCGTGGCCTGGTGGAAGGATGCTGAGCTCCTAATGCAGCGACATTGGATACCGGTAACCGACAGGCCGTGCTGTTATGCACGACTGACCTCGAAAGGTGAGCCGGTAACTGACCAAAGAGAGCTAGCCTGACACGGGACGGCCGTGACGGAAGCTGCACGCTGCCTAAAACCCCGGCAGACGTGGCCCTGCTTGGCACGAACAAGGTGGACAAGGGCATCCCAACCACCGGATCGGATTGTTTGCCGACATGATCGATAAGATAGGGTGGAGACACCGGTGGTCAGACCTCACGAATCTAAGCCGAGCGCCCCACCGTCTGAACCACATCCTCTCCATGCCACAGAGACATTACGGTCACTGCGGCGCCAGTTGTCATCCCGCAAGCTCACGTTCACAGGCAGCGGAGCCTGCCTGCACGTAAGGCGTAGGTCTGAGTAGGCACGGGAACACTTGTTAGGCTGGTCTCTGGCCCTAACGAGTACAACAAACATGGTGGGTTGGGCAAACAGGAAGAGTTCATGGAATTGCTTACGGGAACCGCTAACGCAGTTAGAGCATACGTGACCTATTTCACTGCTTCATCAAAGGATCTTGATTCAGTTTGAAATGGAGGGCCCTACGGCCACAGTCGATGTTTGTTTCTGTAACTTGTTACAATAAATGTGGTTTGGCGCAAAACACGGAAAGCAGGGTTTCTATCAGGTTTTTCTTACTAGCTACACAGCTATGAGTTTGTGAAGAGGGCTGAACAGTGAAAATTATAAAACGTACGCCATACAATATCCAGGAACGGGTGCAAATAAAAAGCATATTTTCAGTTCAGATTTGAATGCAGCCTACTGAACTACCTTAGGAACAGAAACCGCGAAGCACTTGAATTTCGTGTACTGTGTGGTACACCATGGTAGTTTGGGCAATTTTGTGTATAGGTACTTCGGTCATACTTTAGACTGAAATTGTTCGTAATCACTCGGCTGCTGATGATTTAGTTGCGGCCTCATTATGATATACGCGAATCATGAACCCGAAATGTTACACCAAACAGCCAACTTCCCACTAACCATGAAATTTAACATTGTATTTTATTTTGTAATTGGACAGAGGAATCTCAAGTATTTTTGTACACTATTGACCGTCACCTTTAATAGTGACGCAATGCAGAACACACGTAGGGATCATTGTCGCCATGTTATGGCATGCTTCATGCATGGACCTTGCAGTACGAACGTGTTGAGCGCAAACACGGATTCAGAACGCCGCCTTGGGGGGGGAGGGGGGGGGAGGGGGGGGGGGGGGAGGCAGGGAAACGCTGGCATGGGGAGCAGAAGTTCAAAAAATGTCTTGATTTGCAACAACGCATGGAATTTCGATTCCCTATGCCCAAGAAGTATTCTAAAAGGGCTTCGCCTTCTTAAAAGTTATTTACGTTTTCTTCAATGTTCAAAAATGTGCCGTCTGCCCAACTTCGCCCATCTTAAAAGGGCGAGCCTCTTGCCCCTCCCCTATCTTACTCCTGGAACCGCCCCTATCTGTATGTTTGTTTATCCCTAGCGTCACACGCTATGGCTGGTCCGGTATAGTTGGCACGAAAGAAGTAATGCCCATTGGCTTTTGTATCGACGTGTTTCAAATCAGTACAGTAGCCAAACTCCTACCACAGGGCGGCATTAGGATCTTGCCCTGTTTAATCGAAGCGGGCCGTTTCATCCATTGTTTCCCTGTGGTCGCTGCTTCCTTGCTCATTCGGGATTTTCGCCCTGCTCCATTTCCCAATTCAAGAAAGCAATAAACCAAAGTAAATTAAGGCTTGAATGACTGGAAAAACGAGTGCTTTGCATGAATGGTTTTGCATCCATAGCTGATGCTGGGCGGAGCTCATTGCGTGCTCCAAAATCCCACCACCCCGAATAAGCTGATCCAGTTCATGGGATAACTTTCCCTGACCTCGCCAGCCAGGACTGTGGGGGTACCCCGTGCTGTACCGTGCTCCGTCACGGCCTCATAGGTCATAGGTCACGCTGACGCCGATTGGCCAGTTGCCAGATGACCTTTCTCTGTCAGTCGGTCAAAACACCAGCACGTGCCCATGGGCCAGTTTGACTTTGCTCCGCCGGTTGCCAGCGCACATTTCTTGGAGAGTCGCGCACCCCAACACGCTCTCTCCAGAGCCCGTACGTACTCTGTCCCACAGCACTGCACGCCCAGCATCCCTCCAATAGACCGATGTCGAAGCAGGAGAGACCAAATGGAATTATAGGGGTGCCACCAGTCAAATGGACCCCTCTTCGGCGCTCAGTGGTCTCCGTGGGTCAATTCCCTGTTTCATATTAAAAGCCCTACGAGTGTCTCAAATGACAAAAGAATTGGAGTTCTCGGTCTAGGACGGAACCCGCACACCTCCAGGGGAGTTCTTTGGACCCTGGAGGGTTTTGGGACAAAACGAAAACAAAAAAGAACCTCAAAAGGTTAGCAGATACGTCACATATATTTAAACGAATGGGGAAGGTTGACTCCGACAAAGACAAGATAACCGGCAAAATCGTCCGCATTGATGCAACGGTAAATGTTACAATTGCGCCGAAGCCAGCAAAAGGAACAAGGACGTGAGTCAAGGCAGAGAAAAAGCATTCGGCAAGGCTGGGAACAGAAAACGGTGGAAACAGTTGAGCCGTGGTACTAACTTGCAGTGATGGAGACAAAAAAGTACGTAGGTAAAGATTGTGAGATGACGAAGACGGTCCAGAATGCGAGGCATGTAAGAACTAGCTTAATCCAGCCAATTATTTATTGAGGTCGCTAAATGTGATTTATATTGACCCTGCTTCAGCCGCAGAAAAACCTCCAGACCTGGTCATTCATTCTGTGAGAAATAGGGAGCGGTTAGAAAGTCGTATGAATGACCTGGAAGTCGTGATTAAAAAACAGTCAGCGGTCACGAAACTGTCGTGCACTTTAGCAGCTGTAAACTGTCGTAAACTGTAGCAGCAAAACAATATCTTACGCATTGGTAATGCTCCGAAACACAGCTTTAAAAATTGTTCTTTTTCTACGGCACGGCACAACAACACGGCACTGTGCTTGTGTCAAGTGTCAAGTGTTCCCCACACTACCCCGGTTCGAAAGCCCTAGTCCAATCTGTCCTCCAGTCCCACACTGGACCACTACGTGGACCACAATGCGTGCAACGGCCACAAAACGAGCTTCGCCTAGCGCATGTGTGAAAACCAAGAATTTGTGAAAAAAACAAAAAAAATCGTGAAGAACATGCGAAATGTGTTGTCGCGAAACTATGTAATCAACTCTTATACAGCTCACTTCGGTATGTATGTATATATATATATATATATATATATATATATATATATATATATATATATATATATATATATATATATATATGTATGTATAACCCACCCCGTTGTGCGCAGATGCTGTATACATCACAAACGACCGAAATACACGACATTGCATACAAACGCAAGCGTGAGATCAACTAAGGCATGAGTGCATTCATGTCGTGAGGCCAGATTATCATGATGCAGTCAGGTGGTTCGAGGACGTCAGAATACCCCGGAAGCCCATTACTTACCCCAGATAATAAAGCACCGGTTTCGGAAACAAAGGACGCTTGAGATCCCCTTTTCGGGGCATCCCTCGCAAAATGCACGAATCAAATGGGCTCCAGCACTCGACGGCCGCCTTAACCGTCAGCTCCAGCTTCCATGCAAGCAGCCGTGTTTTTCAGCCGTGTTTTTCAGCCGTGTTTCTCAGCCGTGTTTTTCCGCACACGACGTCATTCTCACATGGCCGCGCGCGTCTGCCGTAGAGGTGCCCTCCGTCAATCTCCAGTCCTCCAGCAGCGCCCCCCCCCCCCCCCCCCGCTCCCCGGCCCGGAAGGGGGCGGGGCCTCAGGTGGCCCGTGCATGACGCGTCGCGCCCACGGGCGGATTTTCCGCTGAGTGCGGCCTTGGGGGCTCCAGAACGTCCGGTGGTGCAGCAATCCTCACAGCAGCGGCGGCGCGGACCGCAGGACCGTGCCCCAGACAACATCCTCAGGAGTTTTTCGATTTGCCTCTTCACGAAGGCTCTGTATGCCATGATTTAGGGCATTGCAGTGCTCTCACGGCCCTGCGCTGTTAGTTCTGAATAGTTTCATTCCGTTATTTCTGTACCTTTGAAATGTTTAATATTATGACGGCAAAACATCAGACCAAAGCACTTAAAAGATTGTGACCTGGTTTGCCTTTCACATATGAATGAGCTTAAACTGGTCGGCATATCCAGCTGGCTATAGCTTCACATTGTACTGCACTTTCTTACTCGTCGCGAAATGTACGGTTTGACGGGTATCTTACGAGGGCCGCCAAACTTGCATTGCAATTGAACTGCGCTTCCCGATCCCGAACGCCAGACAGTGAGTGGATATTGTGTTCATGGATGGAGCCCGGAGCTTGGTTGAATGCCCTCGAGTGCCATTCATTCGCGTGAGACTTGTGTCCTTGGCACGCGCTCGGGTTAGGGTCACATTCACCCCCCCCCCCCCGAAGGTTTTTCCAAAATGGTTTTCGAACGGCGGGGCGAAGCCGCATACAATTCTGCATAGCTGTAAGCAATTGAATAGCGGATCGTCTGGCATTAAATATTTAGATGTACCATGTACGATCGCTGACCTATGTCAGATGAAAGTCAGGCCATGATTTCAGCGCAGACACTTTCTAGGGAATCGTTCAATCTGATCCAACAACGGACTGTTAGGCGAAGCCATATACCTCTGAGATACTTCCTTAGGCAACACATCAATTGAATGAAGAAATTACATTGACTGAGGGTCAGGTATGAAAGCTAGACCAGGGTCAAAACCAACCTGTTTTATTACTCTAGGGCCTGCTGTATGGGGCAGTTTCTGGCGCCCATTTCAAATTTATTGACAACAAAAACCGCATTGTGCATCTCTCATAGACTTCTTAAAGATCAGAATAGGTCACTGACCTAAAATTACCCAGGTCATTATTTTGTTCTTGAGAAGATACTCCCTAGTGTAATCTTTGTCGCTTATTCAGTTAAAAAACTCAAAGCAGTCTTGTATGGTTTTGATCACCACGACGACCCGGCCTTCAAAAGGTCAAACAACCTTCAAAAGGTCAAACAAGATCACTGACCTTCAATAATCACTGATTAGAACAGCCATCTAAGTTCTTGGAGCCATTTGGGGACCAATTTTAAATTTGACCTTGTTTGACCAGATTTGGGCCACAGGTCATGACCTAAGAACCTCAAACTTTGACTTGAGTGAATTCACGTACAGGTTAACACACCCTGTGAATTCGGTATTTCCAGCTTGCTTAGTTCCTGAGATCTCAGGGAGTCAGACTGACCCTCTCCCGAGCGAAGGGTATCGAACCGGCCATTCGTGCGCGTGTTGAAACTTGGAAACTGGTTTAAAACTGCTGGAAGCTGGCAACAGTAAACTGTCAAAGCACTCAACTTCAAACGAAGCAGTGTCAAGACACAATCCTTGCTGTTTTCCTGGACGGAAGCCTCCTCCCTTGTCTGAATGTGAGCTGATCTGAGTGTGCAGTTGGCTCAGGTGTTGCAAATCGATGTGAAATTTTCTGCGGAGCGCTTTTGATGACTCTGGAGGCATTCACCGCGGCCAGGTTGTTTGTGTGCCTATTTCCGCCTTCGCTGTGAGAGCACAGTCAGGATTTCGTGCAGGACCCGAACAGCGACCGTTTGGTAGCGAGTGCGAACGTGACCCACTGCGGGACTTCCAGGACCGGTCCTCCTCTAATGTGGTGCGCGGACGTCACCCGTGCCAGCTGCTGTACCGCCGTCACGACAGCACCTCTTTGTCTTTTCACCGCGTCACATATCTATGGACGTAAGTGTATCTGCATTTTGTCCTCTCTTCACATACGGCTCGGATTGGCTAAACTTGGCTGCGTCCGGGCAGGGGACTCCCGAACCCTGGCCTATGTCTATGACAGCGAACTACAGGACCGGGGTAGGGACCCCGAACCCTGGGCTATGTCTATGACAGCGAACTTCAGGACCACACACATTTGTGGTGGACCGTGTAAGTTTTTGCACGAGACACACGCTAATTCTACTCCATCTTGCGGGCCGTATTCGTGAGTAGAATGCATCGGTAAAGCTCAGTCGAGTTCATGTGCGTAGCGAACGTTGAGGGGTACCGTGGTGCGGCACGGCCGCGATGCCACTCGTAAAGCACACTCATACACAGCCATCTCATATACAGCCCACCCAAATATAGCCCACTCATATACAGCGCACTCATATGCAGTCCATTCATATACAGCGCACTCATATACAGTCCACTCATATACAGCCCACGCCCACTCATATACAGCCCACTCAAATACAGTCCGCTCATATGCAGTCCACTCATATATAGTCCACGCAAGCGTGAAGCGTGAATGCAGCATGGAAAGACTTGCAGCATTGGCTTAAGGAGCAAAGCTCAGGGACGCACGCCGATCTGAGGCTCCAACAGCCAACTTGTGGGGGAAGAAAAGAGGGAGAAGAGGGTGGAGTAGAGGGAGGTGAAGAGAGGATGAGAAGAAGAAGGAGGGAGAGGAGAGGAAAGAGAAGAGGAAGGAGAAGAGGGAAGAGAAGAGGGAGGAAGAGAGGAAGAACTGGGAGGAGGAGAGGAAGGAGAAGGGAGAGGAGAACAGCGCCCCCTTCTGCCATTGCTCTTCATCACGCCCCCGATCCTCTTCTCCGGCACACACCTGTGGCCTCGTCGTCGCTGCCCTCTTCGTCGTCGCGGCCCGGCTTGTCCAGCTGGAAGTCGCTGGGCAGGATGATGCCGTTGAGTCGGCAGCCCAGACGAATGAGCTTCTCAGCCTCGCCATGCCGCCGCATCGACACCAGCCAGTGGATCGACTCCGGCACCAGGAACCTGCGACCGAGAGTCATCGAGTCAGAGTCACCAGTCAGCAGGACTAGGCGCTTGACCGGATCGGACCGGAAGCATATTTCTGGGGCCCCTGAGTCAAACATCTTGAGTCAAAAGGACCAAACACTGGCTGGGATTTGTGACAAAGACCCTGCCGCCGAGCGTGACGGATACTTAGTCACTGAGCCATGTAGCCGAGCACCGGATCGCGGTAGACGCCAGGGAACTAAGAATCAGAGTCAGAGTCGTCGAGTCTGTAGAACAGGGCACTGAACCGTCCCCGGCATACAACATAAAGCCGTATATCGCGGAATCTGAGTCACTGACTCAACAGGAAAAGGTGCTGGATGACTCTGCCAACAGGAGCCCTCAATCGGGAGTCAGGATCACTGGGTTTACAGCGCCATGCACTGCATCGGCTCAGCCACCGGGAACCTGAAACAAATACTCACAAACATTGAGTCTAGCGATAATCATGAGGTTCTCAAGCAAAGACTTTGCACTGACTCCAGCACCGGAAATCTGCACCCGAGAGCCACTGGGTGGGAGTTAGAGGCGATACATCTTTATGAACAGCCGTCAGCTTGATTCCATGCCTAGCAACAGGGTGCCACCTCAAAAGAACAGACCACATCCTGATTCGTGAAGCACGACCGTCAGCGGAAGACAGCTGGAGTTTTGGCATTCCCGCTCAGACAAGCCTTATGTTGCCATGGCAGCGTCGCACCTGGGGAGCTGCGCCCGTGAGCCATTTCGAGGCTCTAAGTGAAACATCTCGCGATTAACTGCATATGGCGCCCCCGAACGCGCTCGGCTCCCCACTTTGGCAAATGGATGGCGCTTTTGCCAGACGGAGGCTCACAATGTGCATTTCGTCACAGAGGAAGCAATTCCTCAGCTACCACCGCAATGCTGTCCCCAAGGCCAAGAATCGAGACTCCCCTCGATGCCTGAAGGTGATATAGCTTATAAAAAATTCAGAACTAACGTCTTGAACGGGGAAGCGACCACCCCCGACTGATTTGGTAACAACAAAAAAGAAAGACACGAAAAGACAGATTGCTGGTTAGCACCTGTCGAAACTTTAGAGCTGATTTAGTCATGGACGAACATGCATCCGCAATGACATAACCTCAGCACAAAGTTAGGTCTGACAAGGAAAAACGGTCCATCACGCTGTCAAAGCGAGATCGCATCTGGCCTACCAATTGGAAAGCGCTGACTGGTCGGCAGCTTCTAAGAAGCTGTGGCTCACAACATGGACACAAAGCTACCGTTTCGCGTGATCGCCAGATCTCGTGACAATGGAGACGCTCTCCAAGGTTACCATGGCGTTCATCCTCGTTCGCTGTTCCCAAAACAGCTCAGTTGATGCTGTCTGTGGTCTCTTTGAAGCGCTGTGTCGAGAGCAAGGGGTGATTGCAGGAGTTACATAACTTAGAACGGACGCCGCCCGCGTGGTGCAGCGAGCCATCTCAAGCTTCTGATCCGCGCTTAATGACGCCAGTGGGTTATGATCACTTTTCAAGTCGGCTAATTCTGAGATACTGACAGTGTCATCACCCCGGATGCTGGTGCTGAAGGGAAGACTAGAACGCGACACAGTCGAGCAGCTGCACTAGTCTTTGCATAACAGTATGTTGTCTATGTTAGCTGGACGACTGGCATTTGCGGTGTACGTCTCATTTGCATCATCTGTTAGTTAGCTGGCATCCATTTTCAAGTCAATTCTTTCCTCGTTAACTGCGCACTCACTTCTGTTTCTTGTTCTCCCTGACTTTGCATCTTCCTTCTGGTCTCACTCCTCTCTCTCTCTCCCCCCCCCTCTCTCTCTCTCTCTCTCTCTCTCTCTCTTGCTTTCCCTCGCTCTCTCTTCCTCTCTCTCTTCTTCTTCTTCCCCTTCTCCCCCTCCCTCTCTCCCTCTCCCTGCGCCACTGACCATGAGAAAGGGATGAGCAGGATGCTCTCCACGCTGATGGCCAGCTGCAGCTTCCACCACGAGCGAAACAGCATCGCCTGCAGGCTGAGCAGGATCTGGCCGATGGCGTACGCCACGTATAAAATGAGTGGCGCGATGGGCCGGGACTTGGACGGCGCCATCTCCACGGCCAGCACGAGCAGAGCAATCTCCACACCCTGAGGGAGAGACTGTGGTCAGCAGAGCAATCTCCACACCCTGAGGGAGAGACCGTGGTCAGCAGAGCAATCTCCACACCCTGAGGGAGAGACTGTGGTCAGCAGAGCAATCTCCACACCCTGAGGGAGAGACCGTGGTCAGCAGAGCAATCTCCACACCCTGAGGGAGAGACCGTGGTCAGCAGAGCAATCTCCACACCCTGAGGCAGAGACTGTGGTCAGCAGAGCAATCTCCACACCCTGAGGGAGAGACTGTGGCCAGCAGAGCAATCTCCACACCCTGAGGCAGAGACTGTGGTCAGCAGAGCAATCTCCACACCCTGAGGGAGAGACTGTGGTCAGCAGAGCAATCTCCACACCCTGAGGCAGAGACTGTGGTCAGCAGAGCAATCTCCACACCCTAAGGGAGAGACTGTGGTCAGCAGAGCAATCTCCACACCCTGAGGGAGAGACCGTGGTCAGCAGAGCAATCTCCACACCCTGAGGGAGAGACTGTGGTCAGCAGAGCAATCTCCACACCCTGAGGGAGAGACTGTGGTCAGCAGAGCAATCTCCACACCCTGAGGCAGAGACTGTGGTCAGCAGAGCAATCTCCACACCCTGAGGGAGAGACTGTGGTCAGCAGAGCAATCTCCACACCCTGAGGGAGAGACTGTGGTCAGCAGAGCAATCTCCACACCCTGAGGGAGAGACCGTGGCCAGCAGGGCGATCTCTCCCTGGGGAGCAACGGTGACTAGCAGATTGGTCTCCACACCCTGAGGAATAAACAATGGACAGAAGTGTGATCTACATGTTGTTCAAGCTTGTCAAAGTTGTCCACGTCTAGGCTGTACGAGCCCATGCCTCCACAAAGATAAATAGTGGTGAGTGCAAGACCCTTCTCTTGCCCTCAGAAATGCAAATGGCTGGCAAATATACCCCCAAACAATGAGGAGATGGTGGTGGTTCACAAAGCCGTACACCCACTCTGGAAGGGACAGCGGCCACATGCGGGCAACCCCGTTAAAAGCGCTCCTCAGTACTTTTTTCGCGCATTAGGTAATACCTACCATATCCGAGACCAGCGGCATCTTTTACTTTAGATTACGACTATTGTCCGTATTCCACGCTGTGACGATTGGCCATGCTCGCACTTCACGCAGTGAAAAATAGTGGCTTTCTGATTCTAGTCTTGTTGCCCTCACGGTGCCGTTCATTTATATGGAACCTTGAGACATTTTCTCCTAGAAAATGCATATTCCGCCCACTGCAGGAAGAAGGGACGTCGCTCTTTCGGAGGGGAGGAGGGGGGGGGGGGGGAGGAGTCCACGACCGTTGACTTGAGCCCTCATTCCCCGCCCATTTCTCCTCCGAATGCCCCCCTCCCCCCCCCCCCCCCAATGCAGAGATGCTCCAGATGGGCCTCTGACGGTCTGGAATGTGCGACAGCTGAACCGCTAAGGGTGGTCGATTGTCGGATCGATTGTCCACGGTGATGCGTCCCATCGTAAGTCTGAAGATCGCTTCGCACTTCTGAAGAGTCTCTGACCTGTCCACGTGGACATGGTTCTGGTCACCCCACATCACGAAATCCAAGGGCGACAGGTCGAAGAGTGAGAAGCGACAGCACGACAATCTTAAACTGATGTACATTTCAGCGAAATGATTTTCGAACCAGTCCAGTAAATGCGTGCCGTGCGCGGTGTCGATCGAGATCAGTCGAGAAATCGGGACATCTCACTCATGTGAGATGACTGATTGTTGCTATTGCTTACTATCACGTTTTGCCTCTGAATGGTTATTTGGATTCTACCGCAGTCTTGATTGGGTGAAAAGCACGCTCGGCACTATTGAGCTGAAGTGAGTTAACGTCTTATTTGACCGCGTTGAATTAACGATGCTTTTACATAGAAACAGCATGTTCATGTCACCCCTCTCTCACTTGTTTGATCACCCAATGTATTGCTCAATCGAGAACTTGGACAAAATCGGGACACCTCACTTGGCGGGACACCTCACTCGGCGGGACACTTCACTCGGCGGGACACCTCACTTGGCGGGACGCCTAGGTCAGCGAGACACCTCACTCGGCGGGACATCTCACGCAGCGGGACACCTCACGCGGCAGGACACCTCACTCGGCGGGACGCCTAGGTCAGCGGGACACCTCACTCGGCGGGACGCCTAGGTCAGCGGGACACCTCACTCGGCGGGACACTTCACTCGGCGGGACGCCTAGGTCAGCGGGACACCTCACTCGGCGGGACACTTCACTCGGTGGGATACTTCACTCGGCGGGACGCCTAGGTCAGCGGGACACCTCACTCGGCGGGACACTTCACTCGGCGGGACACCTCACTCGGCGGGACACCTCACTCGGCGGGACACCTCACTCGGCGGGACACCTCACTCGGCGGGACATCTCACTCGGCGGGACACCTCACTCGGCGGGACATCTCACTCGACGGACACCTCACTCGGCGGGACATCTCACGCAGCGGGACACCTCACTCGGCGGGACACCTCACTCGGCGGGACGCCTAGGTCAGCGGGACACCTCACTCGGCGGGACGCTTCACTCGGCGGGACGCCTAGGTCAGCGGGACACCTCACTCGGCGGGACACTTCACTCGGCGGGACACCTCACTCGGCGGGACACTTCACTCGGTGGGATACTTCACTCGGCGGGACACCTCACTCGGCGGGACACCTCACTCGGCGGGACACCTCACTCGGCGGGACACCTCACTCGGCGGGACACTTCACTCGGCGGGACACTTCACTCGGCGGGACACTTCACTCGATGGGGCACCTCACCATATCCATTCCCACGGAAACGGAAACCAAAGACGACTGGTAGTAAAGGGAAGCGTAGGAAGGGAACAAATGGACTCCAGTTATCGACATGGCCATTAAAAAAGTCGTGCAAGTTGATTTTTACTTCTGTTCATAGGTACACCGTAGCGTTGTACTTTTAAACCTTCTGCAGGCTGTCCGCGCCATATCTCAGACCTCGCCAGTCTAAAAAAACTTTTAGCAACTCGAGTGGCCAATGCACGAGGCTTGTTTCTGTTGATCACAAGGGCTCGAATGTCTAAAAATTATGCCGATTGCATCCCATTCTTAGTTCTAAACCAAAACGTGCTCACGTCGCCTTGAAATAGGAGGTCGGTTCTCCACAGCGAAACAATTTTTGAATGTACGAAATATTTAAAAGTTGTTTTTTGGCCCAACATCATGGACGCAAGCAAGTGACCAAAACCCTGAGAGAAATAATGTTTTTATTTTAGGTTAAGTCAATCTTAGCGGCTCAGGATCCCCTCACCCCCCCCCCCCCCTCCAACGATTCAGAGAGAGACACCCGGATAGGAAGTGTTGTGGGGGCGTTGTGAAAACTAAAGCGTTGTGGAGACCCAAGAAGTATCATTATAACTTGTTATTTAAGTCTGGTATACTAGATAGAGTCAAGTTCAAGAGAGCGCTCCCTGCAACTTCTAACCGTCAATAACATACAGAAAGCACCTCAACATCAGACTCATATAAATGAAAAAAAATCCTTAAGATGTCAAAATGAAGTCACGCAATAAAAAACGTGGCTTTCCCACTCCTATATTGTTGTTATACGGTGCAGCACGCTTACATTGCTCTTTGAGACATCGTTTTCCCTCGCATTATCGTCTTGCCGCGTGAAGATTTTTTATTTTTTCATTTATGAACCTGATATCAAGGTCTTCTGTGCAAAGTCAGAGAGGAATCAGATCAGAGGAGGGTTCAGACTGGAACGATAGAAAGCTGATTAGTAGCGGGCACATATTCACTAAATGTTTTACCATTGTTACTGTATTACCGACCAGACCCCACCAATCTATCGTCTGCGCATCACAACAGCTTCCCTGCCGCCCGAGGCCGGTGAACCAACGCAGCCTGAGACACCGTGTCAGCTAGCACGCATCCGAGCAAATCGGACGGCGCGACCGGCACACGATTTGTTCACACTTGAGGAGGTGGTACCGCTCGAGCACGGTCACACCTGAGGAGGCGGCACCGCTCGGGCACGGTCATACCTGAGGAAGCGGCACCGCTCGGGCACGGCCAAACCTGAGGAGGCGGCACCACTCGGGCACGGTCACACCTGAGGAGGCGGCATGGCTCGGGCACGGCCAAACCTGAGGAGGTGGCACTACTCGGGCACGGCTGCTGGGATCGGCCTGTGGCACAGGCACGTCCCGCAGCAGTCGGCCGCAGCGTCACATCAGCCACGTCACACGTCACGTCACGGCCACGTCACGGGCTCCAGACACTGTTTGTCGACGACGACAGCGGCCTGTCGGGTATTCAAATGGCGCGAGCTGTACTGACGACACGTTCCTTTGCGTCGCTAGTGGTTAAAAAAGTCCGACACATGACAGACGGCTGCATGGCTTGACTGATGATTAAGATACTGACTTGACGTGACGCGCTGGCGGGCTACAAACGATTTGTCCCAGTAGAGATACGTCGACAGATGATATGATCATTGCGCCATAGCGCCATTGACCATTTTGCCATTGCGCCATTGCAGCACTCGACGACGGGGGACGGGCGCGTGAGCGATTGCTCGCAAACGTTTGCAATTCACACAAGTAGACCACGTCGGTGCAGAAAAGCTAGCTAATTAAATACTCCTCCGCGAGAAAAAGCTCTGGCTGTCGCGCCAGCGCGAATCTGCTGGGAGGGTGGCCGGCTGTTTTCATCCGCCAGTCAGTGTTCCGACAATAGGGCGGCTGCGAGCTGGCCAACAGAGGCCACCACACTAACCGGTCAAAAAGCAAGCGAACAAGGAATGATGACTACCACTCCCGTGCTATCTTATTTCACCAGCTCACCGCCTATGACTGGGAATAGTTAACTGGTCACCAATCAGATACTGACAACTATGCTTTTAACCGCCGGAGCACATTTGATAGCTGCATAGAAGACCCAAGTTCAATATTGAGACCATAAGTTCAACCCCAAGTTCATAACTGAGTACTCAGTGGAC